ATTGCGTTCGATTTACTTTTACAGATGTTTCTAGCGACAGCTACCGATAATGCATATTTACGCATTCCCCATCCAGAGAGACATGATACAAGATTGCGTGGCACAGCTTTGCTGTTGATCCTAAGCGCTGCGCGCGGATGAGACGCGCAGTTCCGCGGGATATGCGCACGTCCGCAGTGGAGACGTGCGCCAAATTCGAGGCCCGGCGCACGTCTTCACAGCGGTCACCGGATGGTCTGTAGTTTTAGAAGATGACAATGATTATATACGGACGATATTCTAGGAATTGGAGATTATAAAACAGTAACAAAAATCGCTCAGTCATGCTCCAGATTAGCTGAATCAAAAATATTAGAATTTAATATGAACAAAACATATCAAATTCACAAACAAAGAAAGGATAGAGAAGGAGATCAAGGCAACCAAGGCAATAGGCAACCAAGCCAATAGACAACCAAGTAATCAAAAAATGCACCAACTATTTATACTTAGAGGATTTAATTAATGATATAGGAGGTTATAACGATATGATAAGAGTCCAAACTGAAAAATGTTGATGATGAGCCGTTATATGATGAGCGAAATAATATTATTATCATGAGCAGAAGAGCAAAATCATGGAAATCATACTATAGAAGCAAGAGTGAAATTATACGAATGCACAATTTTACCTTCCTTCCTAAATAACAGTGAAACATGGACTTAACTAACTAAGGAAAGAAGTAAAAATGTTGGAGGATTTCCAAAATGAGTGCCTGCGCAAAATAATAATCACGCAGAAAACGCAGAAAAATCTACGGAAAGGCATTGAAAGACGATGAAAATTCCAAGGAAAGATACGGAGAAATCTGTAAAAATAACATATAGTTTCTATACGTAAATTGTGGTAAATACATTAAAAACGCATTATTTTATTGAAAATCCCCATATTTACTTATAAAACATTTAAGAGATGGCGCTGTGGCATATAAACATTGGCTGTAGTTTGATGAAAAATGTTTAATGAATGACGCACTTATTCACTTTTGACAGCGAGTGAAAATGCGGAAAATTTTCCTCTTCGATGCGAAATGCATCGGCCGGGCATTTCATTATTTACGAAAAGTAAATAGGCCGGCAAAAAACGGTAGGTACAGGAACCGGTAACGTCGGTCACGCCTCATTCATGCCCATCAACGAAAAAGGCGGAGCTTATTCCGATTACGGAGATGCGAAAATTCAACAGAAGGACGTAGCGAAGTGCGCTAAACAGCGTGTTATTTTCGTTTTTGTGCCAAACTCTATCGTAGGAAACAGTTCTAGCCTAGCAGAATGCCCTAGTTCCTGAGATCGGCGATTTGGTCCTGTTATGGGTCCCCACCTATAAAAATATCAAACAGAGGTGCGGCGTAGGCTGTGATTGGAAGACACAAAGTGTCAATCCTCGGCAATCCTCGGCATCATGGCCGCATCACGTCCAGCTAATCTTTGATTCGGTCCGAGATATGGCTGTTTTGTGGTTTTCCGGGCGGTTGCATGATTGTGTTCTCCAAATATTTTGACGGAACTGAACCTGGTACGGTAGTAGAGTTACTATCGCGGTGCAGTAGGAAACGCGCATAACCATTTCCAAGTGGGGGGGGGGCATTAAAGTTCTAACTTTCGCTAACGTTCTAAGTCGCCATGTTGAATCTTTTTGAAGCATCCGGGATTGTAAGTGTATCATGTGAAGACTCATAAATAATACAGGCATGTTTTTACGTAGATTTTCTCCGATTCGATCGCTGCCTAAAATCTCCTCGTTTTTACGCGTATCACCGCGAATAAATCTCGCTTCGTGTTTTGCGTTTAACCATCTTGTGAATAATCTACAGTAACAATGAGTGTCTGACAATCGTTTTGAAAAAAACTTTTTTTTACACGTTCGATAAATACGAATTAGTTGGTTTATGCAAGGATTTAATTGTAGCCACAACAAACTCTGACACTGTTTACATGGATTGGGGATCGCAATTCTTCTTGACTGGAACAATAAATCTGATTTTAGAAGGCTTGCTTTGCCCTGCGAGAGAAACTAGGAAAAGTCTGAAGATCGAGATCCGTATATGAGTCTGGCAAAAACCTGCGCGTTATAATTAAGTTTTAATACATTGCGAAATGAGCAACACGCGCACATGTCATTCATCCACATTGTTTGCTTTTTAATATTTTATTTTTCTCTTTTTTTAGTTAATATTTAATCAGTTTCAGCGCAAAATGTTGCGCACATTTCGCTCCTGAACTTAACTGGAATACATATCTGCGTAAAAAAAGAGTTAAAAATCGCGTTCCAAATCTAGCGTCGACGTAACGTTATGGCGTAAGCTTGCTGCACCGATAGCATACACGACATGGAAAACTCGGAGCCTACACAAGAATGAGATCCTTAAAATAAGAGGCATCAGATCTTTCTCAAGAGGCGCATGCGCGTTTTTCTCGCCGCAGCTATCAAATTCCGATCCTTCACATCAACGCTCGATCA